TTCAAGGACTCTGGGAACATTTTCAATGTTATCTGAGTGAGGAATCTTGAATGAAATATAATAGCTATTAGAATTCTACCTTTGAATGTTTATTAGTTGATGAGAGTACTCCTCCTTCTAGTATCCCTTTCTTTTGAGATTGACCATATTATGGTAATCCAGCCAAATGAAATTTTCAAGCCTTTTATGGAATAGGCTGTTAATTACCTATCCAACTGCTGTTCTCTCATTTTTTCTTGCTAATAGAACCCTAATTTTATTTTTCTCCAGATAGAGTGTAGCTTATCAAGATCTCTTCATCTCAGGGAGGATGGGTCTCATACCAGCCCCATGGAATTAATCATCACTAGCTTACACTAGTCATAGTAATCCCACTCCCTTTAGCTAATGATTGGCCTGGGGTAAGCATATGTAAGAGTTTTCTATTGCTGTTGTACCAAATTATCACAAATTTATTATTTCACAGTTCTGTAGGCCAGAAGTTGGGGTTGGCTCACTTGGTTTCTCTGCTCTGAGTTTTTAAGGACAGAATCAAGGGGTTGACTGGCTGGGCTCTTATCAAAATGCTCTGGGAAGGATCTGCTTCCATGTTTATTCATGTTGTTGGTAGAATCCGGTTCCTTGAGGTTGTAGGACTGAGGTCCCCATTTCCTTGTTGGCTATCAGCTGGGGGCTGCCCCTAGCTCATAGGAGCATCTTTTCAGTCTTTGCACATGGACCATTGCATCTCAGAGACAGCAAGGGTGTGTTGAACCTTTCACACTTGGAAACTTTCTGACTTTTGCTTGGTCTCTCTTGCTCCAGCCCTGGTAAACATTTTGCTCTTAAGGACTCATGTGGTTATGTTGGACACCTAGATAATCTATTTAAAGTTTTGCAAACAATTATATCTGCATATTCACAGATTCCCAGGATTAAGGTGTGGATATCTTTGGGAGTCCATTATTCTGCCTACCATTATATGTAGCACATAAATATTCAAAGAAAAAAGGGGAATTCCATTGGAGGCTTCATTTCCTAGGTGAAAAGATAGAGACTCTGCTCTTTTTATCCAGCTAGAGACGCTAGTGGGGGACAATGTGTCTGGAGTGGCAGCAGCTACCTTGTAACCAGGAGACGTCAAGAATGAAGATAAAAGTCAACATACCAAGGATAGTGGAGCAGGAGACTAGAAAGCACCTAGGTCCTCTTGATGATATTTTTTATTAATTATTTAATTTATTTATTTTTGGCTGTTTTGGGTCTTTGTTTCTGTACGAGGGCTTTCTCTAGTTGGGGCAAGTTGGGGCCACTCTTTATCGCGGCCTCTCTTGTTGCAGAGCACAGGCTCCAAATGTGCAGGTTCAGTAGCTGTGGCTCACGGGCCCAGTTGCTCCCCGGCATGTTCGATCTTCCGAGACCAGGGCTTGAACCCGTGTCCCCTGCATTGGCAGGCAGATTCTCAACCACTGAGCCACCAGGGAAGCCCTTGATGATATTTTTGAATAGCAGAACCATGCCAGTGATTGCTTTTGTCTGGATGGCTTGTCATTTGATGAAAAGTAATGATTTGTTTACAAGCAATCAGTTCAGTTTTCTGTCACTGGCAACCAAAAGCAATCTAAATGTTATGTTGCTCCTAGCCCTGATTTCTGGAACTGTACTGTGGGACACAACTCTACTTTTCTACACTTTAAAATGTAGTGTTGGCCAATCTGATTAAATTAATTTATATTGTAATTCATAATAAATGTCTTCAGTGGTGGTGTCAACTTTAGCTTCACCTTGAGGCTGTATTCAGAATTACAGAGTCCAGGAAGAGGGTCCAGAGGTCAGCAAACTATAGCCCATGAGCCAAAGCCTGCTGGCATAAGCCATGGAGTTAAGAAAGGTTTTCATAGTCTTTTTTTTTTTACCTGCACCACACGTCATGTGTGATCTTCCCTGACCAGGGATCGAACCCATGCCCCCTGCATTTGGACCGCAGAGTGTTAACCACTGGGCCACCAGGGAAGTCCAAAAGGCTTTCGTATTCTAAAAGATTGTAACTCCACACCGCCTGCCCCCCAACAACAACAACAAAAAAGAATATGTGACCACAAAACTGAAAGTTTATTATCTGGGCCTTTATGGAAAAATCATGCCAACCTCACTAGTCCCAAAGAGGATTCACCTATCATGAAGTTGAGACTGGGGTTTTACTAAGGAAAGAGTTATTAGGTAAGCATTCAATACCTTTGAAAAATTATTATAAATCACTGTGTAAAGCTTTTGGCACAGGTAAAGATGAATTCTACCTTCAAATTAGGTTTCTTTTCAGTTCAACATTTATTGAATTTCTATTATTACAAGAGTATGGAAGACACTGGAGTTACATAATGAATAAAACAGGGTCTTAATGTAGCTAGAAATCACTTCAGGGAGTCATCTTCTCTGGCAGAAATTACTCACACAATATTCTGAGCAAAAGATAAGGGCCTGTATAAAAAGGATTGCATGCAAAATTTCATATGGATTGGGAATTCCCTGGCAGTCCAGTGGTTAGGACTTGGCTCTTTCACTGAGGGGGCCTGGATTTGATCCCTGGTTGGGGAACTAAAATCCCGCATGCTGCACAGTGTGGCCAAATTAAAAAAAAAATTTTATATGTATCTGCTTTTTCCTAAGGATATGAAAATAAGGATGGACAGCAAGTGGTTGGAAATTTGGGCCTGTAACTCAGGATCAGAAGAGTAGAAAAGGAATGAACAACCATTTAATAGCTACTTTATATATGTTAGTTAAATTGTTATATCAATCCCCAAAGGTAAATGCTGTTTTGCAATTTCTGCTTCACGTCATACTCCAATGACCATATTGCTTTCACTAAATCAAACTGTCTCCTAAAAAGAAGCAGGGACTGAAGATAAGATTAGAAGAGTCACAAATCTCTTTAAAATTCTGGAGAGCCAGATAGGGAGACTGTAGAATAAAAGAGTCAAACACAAAACCTGAAGGATTGCCTGCATTTAATCATGGAAAAAGGAGAGAAGCTAGTGAAAAACTCTGAAATCAAGTGATCAGAATGTGTAAGGAAAACTAGGAGAGAATTGTTTCACAGAGGCCAGGAAATTTAAAAGGTTTAAAAGCTCCAGTACCTTCAAGCAGGGTGGATGCAGAGATGAAATAAACTGAATTTGGTCAACAGGACATAAGGTGATATTTTGTTTTGCTGTCCAATTTTTTTCCCTTTTTAAAATTAATTTTTATTGGAGTATAGTTGCTTTACAATGTTGTGTTAGTTTGTACTGTACAGCAAAGTGAGTCAGCTATACATATACATATATCCCCTCTTTTTCGGATTTCCCTCCCATTTAGGTCACCACAGAGCACTGACTAGAGTTTCCTGTGCTATACAGTAAGTTCTCATTAGTTATCTATTTTATACATAGTATCAATAGTGTGTATATGTCAATCCCAGTCTCCCAATTCATCCCACCCCCTACTCTCCTTTCCCCCCTGGTATCCCTACGTTTGATTTCTACATCTGTGTCTCTTTCTGCTTTGCAAATAAGTTCATCTATACCATTTTTTCTAGATTCCACATATATGCATTAATATACGATATTTGTTTTTCTCTTTCTGACTTACTTCACTCTGTGTGACAGTCTCTAGGTTCATCCATGTCTCTACATTGTTGTCCAATTTGGTAGCCACTAGCTAAATGCAGCTATTTACATTTAAATTAATTAAAAAGTCAAAATTCAGCTCCTTAGTTGTATTAGCCACATATGAAATGCTCAAAAGCTACATGTGGCTAGTGGCTAGCATATTGGACAACTCAAAAAAAATTTCCATCATCACAGAAAGTTCTACTGGAATGTATTTTTTTAAAGCATCCAGTAGTGCAGAAGCAAGAATGCAATGGGGAGATTTAACATGTTTTCCCTTATGCCGTCTATAGTAGTTTGCAACATCTGGTTGATTTGATTTCTCTAGCTTGAGTTTGTGTCTTCACTTTTGCTATTCATTTTCAGTCTCACGCTCGTTTTACTGGACTATTGCAATGGCTGCCTATCTGCTTCCCCAACTTGTTCCTTCCTCCTTCTAATCTTTTCTCCATACAAATCATTCATCCTCTCAACAACACTCTTGTCAATGCCACTTTTCCTGAGCAGCCAACCTTAACTTTTACTGATAGTCCACTGTGGTAGGGTGCAAATGGGGGCACTGTCTCAACACCATAAGTGATTTCCTTCCCCCTCCCAAGTTTCCTTCCCTGCACTCACACAGCTCATAATCCAATGCAAGCAGCATGATTATAATACATTCATATCACACAAATAACGTTAGAGCAGGAACAATAGCTAATCATCACCCTCTCCTGTGTCTTTTATTTCTGATCTGTTACCAAATCTTTTCCCTTTTCACTTCACCACTGCAATAGCCTGTTACCTAGTCTTCTTTTAGTCTCTCCTCCTACCTTCCACCAGAAGCTCCGGTCAAATTACCCAATTTCTTTCAGGGATCCCCTTAGGCCTACAGAGCAGAATGGCGTAAATTCTTCTAAAATGTAGCACAGCCCATCTTTCCTCTCCTACCTCCCTCAACATTCTTCCACACATCTTTCTATCACCCGGTAGTATTCACCATTCCCCTGGCACATTCACGCATATTCACCTCCCACTCTCTTGTCTATGCGGTGTCATCTTTCAGACCCCAAGCTTCTCTCCCATTCCCTTAAGACTCAGGAGGTAAGACGCACAGAGCCCAAGGCGGAGGGGGTCATTACTCAGGGACCGAGGGACAGAAACCTGTTTGACCGTGTCCATTTGGGGAGCTACCCCAAATAAGCTGCACTAACAACCCTTGCTATGCCCCTCGCAAAAGTCAACCTAATTTTCACTGTAACGGAGAGCAAGCCCTTCTCTAGTCAAAGACTCTTGGCAGAGAAACAGGCACTAAAAGCTCTGGGAGGCGAAAGGGATTGTGGGAACGCCGGTCATCTCCCCGCAGACTCATGGGAAATGTAGTGCAGTTTTCTCCAACATGGCTGCGCCCAGGAGAGTTGATGTGCTTGTACCCTCTGCGGCTTCTGGGGATAGAGTGGGAGAAACTGCCGAAGGAGAGAGCACCCGCGTGGCGAGAACCCAGCCTGAGTCAAGGCGGAGGTTTGTGGCACTTCTTATTGGCGGACATGATGGATGCAAATCGCCGCTTTCTCTTTTTGGCCTCTTCCGGTCTCCTCTATCTGCCTCAAGAGCTTCGGACCTCACCAGGGAGAGGAGGGATGGTCCGTGGGCAGTAGGTTGTCTGTGCATGGGGTGGTCCTGTCAGAGTTTGAGGTGCACGTGCTTGTATTTGTTGCGGGTGCTCACGTTGTGTCTGTGTCAATGTTCTGTTTCTTTTGGGGTTGGAGACAGGCGGTTGCAACCTGAGGAGTGTTGGTCAGTGGTGTTAGCTTTAGGGTTTTTTTTGACTCTGCCAATGCAGTGAAGAAAGGATGTTGCTGGTGGTCTGGTAGCTTACAAAGCTGAATCTTCCTATGCCCTTTTTTGAGTAAAACCGGAGACCCCTGGGCTTGTGGTACTGTGAGCCTATAGTTTGGGCTGATTTCATTTAACAGATACTTACTGAGTACTTGCTGAACTCTAGGCACTCAAGTGATGTGCCTTCAAGTAGGTCACAGCCTTCTGGGTGAGCCCAGCACACAAACAGGGAATTATAATATAATGTGAAAATTGCAGGGATAGAGATACACATTAGATATTAATGAAAACATTGAAGAGGGCCACCAAGCTCAGAATCCTGGCAAAGAGGTTTAGGAGGTAAGATGGCAAGTTTAATAAGTTTAGGATTACTCAGTAAGCGTTTATTGAGTAACTCCTAGGTGCTAGGTCCTGTTCTACGTGCTGAGTGCTACAGGGTGAATAATACAGACCAAAAAATCTCTACTTTCTTTTTTTCTTATTTCTTATTTATTTATTTATTTACTTTATTATCGGCGGCTCGGGTGAGGCACGTGGGATCTTCGTCGAGGCATGCGGGATCTTTCTTTGTCGTGTGAGCTTCTCTCTAGTTGTGGCGCGTCGGCTCCAGGGTGCGTGGGCTCTGTAGTTTTCTGCACGAGGGCTCTAAGTTGAAGCACGCGAGCTCAGTAGCTGTGGCGCGAGGGCTTAGTTGCCCTGCGGCATGTGGGATCTTAGTTGCCCCGCCAGGGATTGAACCCTCGTCCCCTGCATTGTAAGGTGGATTCTTTACCACTGGACCACCAGGGAAGTCCCAGAATCTCTACTTTCATAGAGCTTACCTTCCTAGTAAGTTAAAGGAGGAAGACAGAATAAAGACAATTACTGAGGGCATTAGAAAATACAGAGTAGGTATTCTTCAAAGAATTAAAATGAGGTGATATGACAGTGATGGGTCAATTTTTTCTAATCATTAAAAAAAATTTTTTTTAAATAGGTAATGCAATTTGAATAGCTGCTAAATTCAAAACTTACAAAAGAGGAGCTTCTCATTCCTGTACCTACTCTACCTGTTTTCCCTTCCTGGTGGCAACCCATATCACTGATATCTTGTATGTTCTAGAAACCTGTATGTATAATTTGTATGCCTGTACTGTACTTTATAACCAGGGCTCATTTGATAGGAATTGAAGTTGTTTCCAATCTTTGCTATTAATTAAATTTAATTTACATACTAGCATAGGAACATTTGTCTATACTGCTTGGTTCATTTAGGCTGTCTTATTTAAGGAGAGCATAGACACACATATTACCATTACCATTTAGGCAATATCCAATAGGATGTGTTGGGGTTAAACTTACTAACAGAGCAGATGTGATTTATAAACCCTTGTTATCCTATGGAGAGTGTGCTTAGGCTGGACTCAGCATGGCTGGTATTCTAATAAATAGTGACCTGGCTCCTGTAACATCCCATAACAGTCCCGTAACATGGCAAGGAGCACGCAAGCCTTTGTGCAAATCCCTTGTGGGAAATCCCTTGGCCAGAGAAGTGGCCTTGTTAGAAAGGGGCACCTCCACATCTCAGCAGCTGGTATCAGCCTATTCCTTGGTGAGGTGACTCTACTGGTCTTTCTTCACATGGAGTAATATTGCCTCACTGAGGGAAGAAGGGAAAGGGGATGACAGAAATGTGATTATGAGGCTCCATCTACTGGTGCTGGACTCTAAGTGTCAGACTTGAAAAAATGTATTCAGCATCATCTTTTTTCTCATTTCTTCCACTTTGCAGTCTTTGCTCATGTAACATATTTAGAAAAAAATTCTTAGTAGATTCATCCCTGTTCTTCATTGCTAACTGCAAAAATGATGATCTTGGAATGGAGTGGCAATAAGATAATTCTTTTGAGGGTGCTCAGCTTTTCTTGGTCTTCCTAAACAAGTCTTATCTGGCTCTTCTGGAAATTAGCAGTAATTTAGTAATAGACGTATTTAATACTTTTTACAAAGTTATGAGACAGTGTCAAAGAATAACACAGCCAGACATTAGTTAAAGCAGTGAAAACAGACTTTATTTAGTAATTATTGACAGTAGGAGAAAGCTAAACTCCATTCCAATTTGTGTGGAAGTGATTAGGGGGTGTGTGTGTGGGTGCTCAGTAGAGTCGGAGAAGTAAAAAATTATAAAGGGTGGGTCAGTGTAAATGCAGTTAGGCCAGCTGGCAGTTGTCAAAGTTAGGATTCCATCCTGTCACAGAGACTGAGAGACAGAGGCCCTGTCCTTCCTGATGATTACATTTCAAAGGGGGAATTCCCTGGCAGTCCAGTGGTTAGGACTCCGTGCTTTCACTCGGAGGGCGCAGGTTCAATCCCTGGTGGGAGAACTAAGATTTTGCAAGCCTCATGGTGCCGCGAAAAAAACAAAACAAAATAAAAAACATTTCAAAGGAATGGTTCTCAGGTTCTTGAGAGAGACATGTCTGAGTTGCAGGAGATACATGTTCACAATTGTAAGCTGGTTTTTCTTTCTTTTTTTTTTTTTTGTGGTACACTGGCCTCTCACTGTTGTGGACTCTCCCGCTGTGGAGCACAGGCTCCGGACGCGCAAGCCCAGCGGCCATGGCTCACGGGCCCAGCCGCTCCGCGGCATGTGGGATCCTCCGGGACTGGGACGTGAACCCGTGTCCCCTGCATCGGCAGGTGGACTCTCAACCACTGCGCCACCAGGGAAGCCCTGTAAGCTGTTTTTTTTGGGCAATTTTATTTAATTAATTTATTTTTTGGCTGAATTGGGTCTTCGCTGCTGCATGCGGGCTTTCTTTCTAGTTGCGGCGAATGGGGGCTACTCTTCGTTGTTGGGCTTCTCATTGTGGTGGCTTCTCTTGTTGTGGAGCACGGGCTCTAGGTGCGCAGGCTTCAGTAGTTGTGGCACGCGGGCTCTGTAGTTGTGGCTCACGGGCTGTAGAGCGCAGGCTCAGTAGTTGTGGCACACGGACTTAGTTGCTCTGCAGCATGTGGGATCTTCCTGGACCAGGTCTCGAACCCGTGTCCCCTGCATTTGCAGGAGGATTCTTAACCACTGTGCCACCAGGGAAGTCCCGTAAGCCGTTTTCAATAAGTGCTTTAAAAAAGAAGGGAGGTCAGGGGCCTATTGTTAGGAGATGTTAGAACAAATAGTAAAATATCCAGGCAGCATTTTAAGTTTTCTCAGGCAGCCATTTTAATGGGGAGCTGGGGTCATCCTAGGGTATGGCTTTATGCTGCTATAAGCTAGAGTTTGGTGAAGTTTTTTAGTGCAGGGTTTGGATGGAGTTATGTGCCAAGAATAGGCACTATTTTTCCTGTTTTATAGGTGAAGAAACCTAAGCACAGAAATAAGTAAGTAACTCGCACAGGGTCATATAGCTAGTAAATTGTAAACCTGAGGTTTAAACCTAGAACCTGGACCCCTAAACACTGTGTTATACTGTCTCAAAAAACTGAAGGAGGCTCTGGGGAAACAAAAATATGATTTAATTCTTGTCATCAAAGAGCTCATAGTCCAGTGGAAGGGGACAAACATTAGAACAAATAATTAGTGCAGTGTTAAAAATATATATTCAGCTGTCCCCTTCCTGTGTAACGATGACTCCTAAACCTTTCTGTCTAACCTCATTTCTTCTCATTTTTCCACTTTATGTTTTTCATCTGCCAGCCAGACATTGCAACTGTGTATCTGAACGGTACTTCAAACATTATATCCTAAATCTGACTTATCACCTCCCTTACTGAGCAGCTCTTCCTGACCCTCTTCTGACTTTCCAGTTTTGGAATGACATCACTAGCCTCTCAGTCACTCAGACTCTGTCCTGCTAGTAACTGATCTCTGATTCTTCTCTCCCTCATGTCCGAGTAGTCATCAGGACTATTGATTATTCTTGAACTTTTCTTTTGCCCTCTCCCCTTCTCTCCCTATTTCCTTTCTTCCTACATACAGCCTTCACCCTAGATCAGGCCAGCATTTTTACTTGTTAAGCAGGGTTATTGCAAGTCCTTTTGCCTCTCATGTCCAGCCAGCCTGTTTTACTGGCCTTACCTCCTATCACATGTGCTCCATGTATTAGTTAAACTGGATTACTGGCCGTTGTTTCAATAGTCTCAGCATTTTTCTCTGTACATAAAGATTAATAATTAGAGTTTTGACTGTTTGAGAGCTGTTTTGGAATATGATTTATTTTTATTTTTTTGCGCTGCGCTGGTCTCTCACCGTTGTGGCCTCTCCCGTTGCGGAGCACAGGCTCCGGACGTGCAGGCTCAGCGGCCATGGCTCACAGGCCTAGCCGCTCTGCGGCATGTGGGATCTTCCCGGACTGGGGCACGAACCCGTGTCCCCTGCATCGGCAGGCGGACTCTCAACCACTGCGCCACCAGGGAAGCCCTGATTTTTTAAAAAATAAATTTATTTATTTTATTTATTTTTGGTTGTGTTGGGTCTTCATTGCTGTGTGTGGGCTTTCTCTCGTTGCAGTGAGCGGGGGCTACTCTTCGTTGAGGCATGCGGGCTTTTCATTGCAGTGGCTTGTCTTGTTGCAGAGCACAGGCTCTAGGTGCGTGGGCTTCAGTAGTTGTGGCACGTAGGCTCAGTAGTTGTGGCTCGTGGGCTCTAGAGTTGTGGCGCACGGGCTTCGTTGCTCCGCGGCGTGTGGGATCTTCCAGGACCAGGGCTCGAACCTGTGTTCCCTGCATTGGCAGGCGGATTCTTAGCCACTGCACCACCAGAGAAGTCCCTGGAATATAATTTTATTTAACTTCTTAAACTTATTTCATTTGCTAACTTTGAAGACTTTCAAGTGGGTGAAGAGTGGAATCAGTGGATAAGCCAATATTCTCTGCTCTAAAAAATTATGTCTACTACTCACTGTCTTTGCCAGACACATCTATTTCTATTTTTAGCTTCTGTTCTTTATTGCCTCACTGGATACCCTCCCTTCCACGTGACTGTATATTTCTTGTCCTTTGATACTCAGCTCAAGTCCCCTTTTGTTTTGAAGTTCTCCCAAACTTTTCCAGTTGACATTGATCTTATCTTTTTTGTCTCTAATTTGTATCACATCTAAAGACCATTAACACTTAATTATCTAAAGACACGTCATATTCTTTCATTGTTTAATGTTTGTTTTCCTCAACTAACTTATAAACTGGTTGAAAGCATAAACTATGTATTATATTTGTATGCTGTAGAGTGCTGAGACCATAAGTAGGCATGTGTATATTCACTCATTATCATTTGTTTATTCCTTCAACAAATTTTTGTTGAGCACCTACTGTGTGCTGGCATTCCTTGGAGTTTACATCCTGATGGAGGAATTAAGCCAGCAAATTAATCATCACAAATTGTGTTAAGTTCTGTGAACAAAATAAAATAGACTTCTATAATAAAGCATAATGTAGGGTGCTGATTTGGATAGTGCAAAGACCTTTTTTGGAATAGCACTCAGTAACTACTTGCTGATTGACATATTTCAAAAAAAATGAAAACACAATTGTATGGGGTTCTTATACCTGTTATTTTAAAAATTATAGATACAAAAATATATAACATATAGCTTAAAAATAATAAAACAAACACCTAAACCACCACCTAGCTTAAATATTTTTGATGCCTCTATGTGTCCCTTTCATATCACAGTTCTGTCCTCCCCCCATGAAATAACTTCTCTCCTGAACTTTGTGTTTATCATTTCCTTGCTTTTCTTTGCATTATGCTACATATGTATTTCTAAACAACATATGGCTTACTTTTGGATTTTGAACTTTATGTAATGGAATCATACTGTATATTCTTCTGTAAATTTTGTCTGTTTGTTTCTCCCTTTTTTCCTTTCCTAACATTATGTTGTGAGATTTGTTTGTGGCACATTTTACCTTGGACTTCATAAGTAAAGGGAACGCATGTGGGAAAATATCTCACTTAATAGCACTAAAGCATTGACATGTTTTGTAGAACCTACCAGAGATGCTATTAGATGTTCTTGCTTCTTTGTTACCTTCTTAAATATTCCTTTATTGTCCACGCATCTGTTTGTTCTCACTTCTCTTTGTTGGTGACAAGTATGGTAACCATTTAAAAATTATCGCATAGAAATATTTATAAACTATAAAATACATGAATAGTATTATTATAACTGTTTCTTGGGACTCTTTAAGGTTGACATTTTATACTTTTTTTTTTTTTTAAGTATTGCCATGGACAGCAACCACCAAAGTAATTACAAACTCAGTAAAACTGAGAAGAAGTTCTTAAGGAAACAGATTAAAGCCAGGCATACTTTGCTGAGACATGAAGGCATTGAGACAGTATCCTATGCTACTCAGGTGACCTAAAACTATTATTATCATTTGAATGTAAATGTATTGCCATGTTAGTGTGTTCTAAGTAATATTTCTTAATAATTGCTCAGAGAAGAAGGCTATAATTGTTCCATCATGTGTTACGATCTGTGTTAAATATACATATGATAAGACCTGCTAACTTTCTATTTGGGGACATAGCCTAGTATAGTTTGAATTTCCACTGAGGAAGTTGTAATTCTGTATTAATAACAATAACACTATACAACTGTTTACAGTTACAAAGTATACTTATATTCATTATTATATTTAATTCCCTAGAAATCCTTATGAGGTAGATGAGAAAACTAAGGTTCTGAAAGGTTGTGATATGTCCATTGATATAAGGTGCTGAATAGAAACCTAAAGCTAGATCTTTTGTACCCTAATGCAGTCTTCTTTCTTCTATTCCTAACTTCATCTCTATTATAAAGTATTTGATTATATGCTGTGAAACATTTCTTATTTATGAGACCTCATTTACAAAGCCTTTTTATTTTCTTATGGGCAATGATTAAATGATATATATGTATGTATGTATAGATACCCCCCCACCTGCCTTCCACACACACACACACACACACACACACACACACATATACACACAAACTCTTCCTGGGCTATGAATGAGAAGAACTTATTTTAACTCTTAGCTTCTCCACGTATTTGTACATGAGCAGTACCCTTTGACTTCAGCTTTCTTCATTTGTAAGGACATAGTATTACATACTTTTTATTCCATTGGATTGTTACATTCTAAAGAGAACACGTATATGATAGTACTTCTTAGTCATTAAAATACCACATGAATGTAAAGTATTCTTATCAAATTCTTTCTGGTTGTAAAGATATAGGATAACAGTAGTAAGGCAGCTTAGCTAGCATCTAACTGAGGACCAAAGACATACAATTTAGGAGGTGAAGCTGGGATTAAAATTTAGACCTCTTGATTCTCAGACCAGTACTCTTCTCTAATGCTTTTTCTGTCTTCTGTACTGCATCATAGTTTAGGAATGAGTGCTCTATTTAGGGAGATTTAATATTAGCAGGTAAAAGGCCCAGACTTATATTTTCTTAAATATTAATAACTTCAGGCCCTCTCACCCGTGGCATCCACGCACAGTGTGCCTCACGCCCAGGTTCCTGCACTGTTCCCTCGCAGCCATGAGACGCCAGGTGCTCCTTCTGCTCCTGCCACCCGTGCTGGCCACACTGGGGGCTCGGGGGCTCCATGACCGATGAAATACAGTGTAACGTGATGAGGCAAGCTGCCTGTGGTGGGAGATGCATTCCTGTGGCCTGGCTCTGCAACGGAGGGCAGGAGTGCCTGGATGGGGCGGACGAGCAGTGTGCTTTGCAGGTGCGAAATCTTCATCAAGCGCTAATCACTGAAGAAACAGTTGTAAGGTATCATCCAAAAAAACCAGCATCATGGAGAATTTTTCCTTTCCTGAAGTACACCTTCAATAAAAGCACATATACATGAAAAAAAAAAACAAACCAAATAACTTCAGAGAATTTAAACCAAATCCCTCAAAAAAGGATGGAGTGGATAATAGATTAGAATTAATGTCTGCACGCACTTCCTGCCAAGACCACTGAGGCTGTGAGGCATTCAGAAGATTTATGATATACCCTATTTTCATCAATTCTCAAGCATAACTGGCATTTTTTCCCCTTACAGGGGTTGTGAAGACAAGTGGTAAGAAAAGAAATGGGTTAAGTTTCTTTGCTGCCTCTGAAACTTGTTTCTGGTTGAGGTTGACTTTTTTCTTCAGATCTCTAGAAGCTTTAATCATATTTTATAGTATTGTATTAATGTGTTTATTAGTGTGTGTGTGTATACTTACATACATATAAAGTATTGGCTGCCCCATGAAAGAACAGAGCTTTACTTATTATCCAATTTTTTTTTTTTTTTTGGCGGTACGCGGGCCTCTCACTGCTGCGGCCTCTCCCGTTGCGGAGCAACAGGCTCCGGAACCGCAGGCCCAGCGGCCATGGCTCACGGGCGCAGCCGCTCCGCAGCATGTGGGATCCTCTCGGACCAGGGCACGAACCCGCGTCCCCTGCATCGGCAGGCGGACTCTCAACTACTGCGCCACCAGGGAAGCCCTATTATCCAATTTTATAATAATTGTTTTATATTCTTTTAAAACAGTGTTCTAGATATTCCCATTTTATGCATATGAAGCTAAAACATTATGTTCTACACTCATAAATCAGGTGTTGGCAGACTACTGTCTTCAGGTCAAATCTGGCTGGTGAGATAAGAATGAGTTTTCCATTTTTAAGGGTTGTTTAAGAATAAAACAAGACTATGTGGCAGAGGCTTATATGACCTGTGAAGCTTAAAATATTTACTATCTGGCCCTTTTCAGAAAAGTTTTGCCAATACCTGGTATAAATGATGAAACTGATGAGTGTAGGCCATCAGTTGTTTACTTTTGTTATGCTACAGAGTTTAAAGATCTTAATGCTGTGTAGAATGTTTTTTAAGTACAGAGACTATAATGGCACTAGGCCATAAGCATCAGAATTAAAATAGAAAACCTCCCCTACCTAATTCCTTGAGTAAAGTTGAACAGGATTGCAAATGACAGGAAGTAAGCATGATATTTACAAAGGAAAGAAATTTAATTGCAAAATGACTGAATAACCCACAAACAGAGGAAATTTTTCCTGTTTTATGTTCAATAGAACTTGTAATTGTTTTTTTCTTCCAGCCAGTACCTTTACCTTTAGTTTTTAGTAAACATTGTATAATGGTTATATCAAAAAGTATGGATTCTGGAAACTGACAGAAGTAAATTTGAAACCCAGCTCCAACTAATCACCATCTTAACCTCATTTTTCTGATTTTTAGTTTCTTTCTGTATGAAGTGGGGCTTATATTACCCACTTTGTAGGATTGTTGTGAAGATTATGTTAATGAAGATTGAGTAGGTAAAAACATATAGCACAGTGTCTAGCAAAAAAGCAAGTATTGGGCTTCCCTGGTGGCGCAGTGGTTGAGAGTCCGCCTGCCGATGCAGGGCACACGGGTTCGTGCCCCGGTCTGGGAAGATCCAGCATGCTGCGGAGCAGCTGGGCCCGTGAGCCATGGCCGCTGAGCCTGCACGTCCAGAGCACAGGCTCCGCAATGGGAGAGGCCACAACAGTGAGAGGCCCGCGTACCACAAAAAAAAAAAAAAAAAAAAAGGCAAGTATTATGTAAATCCTTGTTTCTTCTCTCTGCCTCCTCTTTCTGTTTCACTGTGTTAAATTTATGAGCAGTGAAAGTTATCTTTTAATTTGTATGTATATGGTCATTAAGAAATGAATATTTTACTGAAAAGGCTATTAAAAATCAGTATTATTTACAATATCTTATTTTTAAATTTCATTTAAAAATAACAGATTGATATCAATTGCTCATGTTACTTTCTTTTTTTTTGTTTTTTTTAGAGCCTGATTGTTGCCAATGGTGGTTTGGGTAACCGAGTGAGTAGGAACCAACTGCTCCTGGTGTTAGAGAAGTGTGGATTGGTGGATGCTCTCTTAATGCCACCTAATAAGCCCTACTCATTTGTAAGATACAAAACTGTAGAAGAATCCAAAAAAGCCTATGATACTCTCAATGGAAAAGAAATAGTGGATGACTTAGGACAAAAGATTATTCTGTACTTGAATTTTGTGGAAAAAGGTATATCATACAGGTATCTTTTTAAAAATGGTTTTTGCTTTTGTGTGTTTTCTTTTCTTACCTCAGTTGGAAGTTTCAGTTATTGTGAAACAGAATTGAATGTCAGTTAAGCAACCCCTTTTTGTTTAACAAACATTCTTTAAGTGCCTAGTTTGTACAGGCATGGGACTAGTAGTTGAAGGGAGGTGATTTAGACATAGCTTACCAACCTAGCAATACATTTATCATGTATGCATGTTATTTTGGAGCCCTGCTATCTAATTGTGTCTTTCAAAATTTATTGTTGAGGATTTAGATCACCAATTTATTTTACAGTGTCTACCCAGAAGCTTTCAATGAATCACTTAGGAATTAATTGTGATCCAAATGATTACGTGCCAAGGTTCATGATTATGGAGGAGCAACTTTAGCTACCAAAGATCCCCAAAGCTTTAGAGTGGCGATGTCCAGTAGAACATTCTGTGATGATGGAAATATGTTCATATTTTATATCTGTACTGTCCAACACGATTGTTTGGTTTTTAAATTTAATTTTATTTAAATTAATTAAGTTAACTAATTTAAATAAAAGCTTTGTAGACTGATTTACAGAATTGCTGCAGGGATTATTACATCTTTTCACCACTGAGCCATGGAAATGAGATACATTGAGATGAACTTAGACTTCTAATCTCCTCCTATTATATTCATTTGCCAACTATTTAGGCAATTAAAGAGTTTTGTTTAGATATGCTGGGAGTGGGTAGGAGAGTAGAATATGATCAAATTTATGTTTTATAAAATAAGGTTCAAAGGAAACTTTAACTCCTTTATAGATATATTTTAGAAGTTATAATTCTCAGTGTCTATATGTACTTAATTTTTAAAATTTCTTTAAAAATTTCTTTAATTTATTTATTTTTGGCTGCAATTGGGTCTTCATTGCTGCACGCCGGCTTTCTCTGGTTGTAGTGAGTGGGGGCTACTCTTCGTTGCGGTGCACGGGCTTCTCACTGTGGTGGCTTCTCTTGTCATGGAGCATGGGCTCTAGGCGTGCTGGCTTCAGTAGTTGTGGCACGTGGGCTTAGTAGTTGTGGCTCGCGGGCTCTAGAGCGCAGGCTCAGTAGTTGTGGTGCACGGGCTTAGTTGCTCCGCTGCATGTGGGATCTTCCCGGACCAGGGATTGAACCCATGGCCCCTGTATTGGCAGGCGGATTCTTAACCACTGCGCTACTGGGGAAATCCAATATGTACTTAATTTTAAATCTGACTTAAGCTTTCAGATTTTGAAAACTAGATTTTTTCGTATTTTGTGTTTGTGATCAGTTTTTGAAAATTGTATGCTTTAGGAATAAGTCTTTTTTTTTTTTTAAATTGGGGTACAGTTGTTTTACAATGTTGTAGGAATAAGTCTTAATCAAAAAATATTGTCCTTGGGTTTTCCCCCATTCAGCATGTTGAACACTGTAAGAAATTGCATGAAATGAGTTTTGGAGTGTTTTTTATTTGAAATCCTGTATTAGGTCCAGATGTACTTTTTTAATGTATTTTTTATTGAAGTATAGTTGATTTACAAGGTTGTGTTAGTGTCTGGTGTACAGCAAAGTGATTCGGTTTTATATATGTGTGTGTGTGTGTGTGTGTGTGTGTGTGTGTGTGTGTGGAAAAGAATATGAGAAAGAATATATATGTATGTATACATATATACATACATATATATTCTTTCTCATATTCTTTTCCATAATAGTTTACTACAGGATATTGAATATAGTTCCCTGTGCTATACAGTAGGACCTTGTTGTTTATCCATTCTATATATAATAGTTTGCATCTGCTAATCCCAAACTCCCAAAACCATCCCTCTCCCACTGCCCGCCCCCCTTGGCAACCAACCACAAGTGCATTCTCTATGTCTGTGAGTCTGTTTCATTTGTGTCATATTTTGGATTCCACATATAAGTGATATCATATGGTATTTGTCTTTCTCTTTCTCACTTACTTCCCTTAGTATTATAATCTCTAGGTGCTTCCATGTTGCTGCAAATGGCATTATTTCATTCTTTTTTATGGCTGAGTAGTATTCCAGTGTGTGTGTGTGTGTGTGTGTGTGTGTGTGTGTATGTTTGTATTTACCACATCTTCTTTATCCATTCATCTGTCAATGGACATTTATGTTGCTTCCATATCTTGGCTATTGTAAATAGTGCTGCTATGAACATTGGGGTGCATGTATCTTTTTGAATTATAGTTTTGTCCTGATGTATGTGCAGGAGTGAGATTGCTGAGTCATATGACAACTCTATATTTAGTTTTTTTAAGAAACCACCATACTGTTGTTTTACACTCTTCTATTACTTGACCATAGGAGCAAAAATGAGTATTTAAATTTTTTTATTCAATATTTAGAATCTGGTTTGTTTATGGAGGTGCATACTGTAGATATTATGAGAAACCTTTTTTCTTAGTGAGATTTAAAAAGTGGCTTAATTGTGTTCAAACAAAATATTTAAGTAAATACTGTTCTATTTGCTATTGGTAATTGCAGTGGATAAAATGTACCATAATTTTTATCTTGGCCTTTATTTTTTGTTTTTAATATGTTGTGTGCCTTTCAGCATTCTTATTTCTAAAAATGAGGTTTGGGGTTTTATGAACTGATAAATGGCTATTGGACAGAATTATTTGTCTATGAGAACTTTAAGTTTTGTATTTTGACTATTTTAATTTCATTTCCCCAGCACAGTGGAAAGAGTTGGGGCTTCAAGCCTTGCCTCCAGGCCTCATGGTAATGGAAGACATTATTTCTTCTGAGGATGAGAAAATGCTTTTGGAAAGTGTTAACTGGACAGAAGATACAGACAATCAAAATTGTAAGTAAAACTTTAAATCTGGTATTTAAAAGTTTCTGCAAAATGCCTTATCCTCCTTTGGTTTATTAAAACTCTGTTTCCTCAAAATTACTGAAAGTACCCTGGATACAATGTTAGGTAAGTCATACCAACAATTCTTAAGAGCATTAATAATAAATAGCATTTATATAGGTATCAATTTAAAACTCCAAACTGATTAATATTTATTAGTCAACATTTGTGCAACTAACATTTATAAGCTGTTTTATATACAGTTGGTTGTCTGTTCCGTATCCATGAATTCCGTCAACCATGGATTGAAAATATTTGGAAAAAAAAGAGAAATTCCAAATAAATAAAAAAAAAAGAAAAAGAAAAAAGAAAAATTCCAGAAAGTTCCAAAAAGCAAAACTTGAACTTGCCGCATGTTGGCAACTATTTACATAGCATTTACGTTGTTATTTACAACTATTTTACATAGCATTTACGTTGTACTAGGTATTGTAAATAATCTAGAGATTATTTAAAGCATGCTGGAGGATGTGAAAGCTGTATGAAGGTTACATGCAAATACTGCACTATTTTATGTAAGAGACTTTATTGTCCTTGGATTTTGGTATTTGAGGGAACCAATCCTCCAAGGATACCCAGGGACAACCCTATATTGTCTTATTTGGTTCTCTCCACCCTAAGACAAATTTCCTATGAGGAATCAGCAGTTCAGTAACATATCATTATAATGTAGTAAGAACCTCCTGGAGAAATTTACAAATTCGTTACTTTGACTCTTTTCCAGATCATTAGCAATCTTATGAGTGGCAGTGGACATGTTTAGCTCTTTCAGATTGACTGGGTGAAACCCTTAAAAGTTTGTTTCAATTTTAGACTTAAAAGAATAGCAGCTATGAGGTAGAATGTTTCATTTTACTAAAGACAATAATTTAGCAGTTAACAAAAGTTACCATTACTAAACCAATCCTTATTCATAAAGTTGACTTTGAAATACATGAGGAATCAAATTCTTTTTCTCCTAAATAGTTTACTTTCTTCTCTTCATACAGTTCAAAAATCCTTAAAACACAGAAGAGTAAAGCATTTTGGCTATGAATTCCACTATGAGAACAACCATGTAGATAAAGATAAGCCATTACCTGGGGGTAAGTAATTGTTGTGTTTTTTTTATACATTAAAAAAAATTTTTAATTTATTTATTTAATTAATTTATTTTTGGCTGCATTGGGTCTTCATTGCTGCATGCAGGCTTTCTCTAGTTGTGGCGAGTTGGGGCTACGCTACTCTTTGTTGCAGTGCACGGGCTTCTCATTGCGGTGGCTTCTCTTGTTGCGGAGCATGGGCTGTAGGTGCATAGGCTTCACTAGTTGTGGCACGCGGGCTCAGTAGTGTGGCTCGTGGGCTGTAGAGCACAGGCTCAGTAGTTGTGGCACACAGGCTTAGTTGCTCCGTGGCATGTGGGATCTTCCTGGACCAGGGGTCGAACCCGTGTCCCCTGCATTGGCAGGCGGATTCTTAACCACTGCACCACCAGGGAAACCCAGTAACTGTTAATAAATAATAAGGGCTGGTAAAAATTAATATATTAATAATATTAGGATATCATGGTTGAGATTATTTTTCATTTGTCATTTGTAGGTAAACTTATGAAACAGTTGATTAAATTTAAACCATTTTAATTAACTAAATAGTGTCGTTTTGTGTTAAAAATGTTATACATATAAATAAAGCTAAATTTAATTTCTCTTGAACACTATCCATACTCCCATACTCCTCTTCAGAAGTAGTACCATTAACAGTTTAGTGTATACTATTTCAATCCTTATAAATGAGTTTACATCCAAATAACCTGTAAACGTATATAGGTGTTAACACGTAGTATTACATTGTATGTTATAAATTGTATATTCATATATTACCACATTATCACAATATGTCTTAGAGATCTTATATAGGTTTTCATTTTACTGAATGTTCAATAATAGCTTATTCAGTTAATTTCCTTTTGCTAGACATTTAGGCTATTTCTAGTTTTTAGCTGTTACAAGTTGTGCTGCAGTGAATATCTTTGTATACACCTCTTTATGCATTAAAGCAAGAGTTGCTCAAGGGAAACTACTAAATTAGAATTGTGTCAGAGTTATGTTCGTTTAAAAATGTCAATAGACACTGACGAATTGCACCCTAAAAAAGCTATACCAACATACTCTCACGAAGTGTGCACCTCCTTCCCCCTACCCCTAGCAGCATGTGATATTGTAAAACTTTTAACTTTATAATCACCTGATTACTAGTGAGGTTGGCCATTTTTATTTCCTTTTCTGTGAATTCTTTTTCATCTTCTTTACCAGTTTTTTCTAATGGGTGGTCAAACATATTAATAAGAATTTGCTACATAATCAGGATATTAATCCTTTGGTAGAATTGTTCGTTGGAGTTAAATTTATCTGTATTTTTATGACTTTAATCTTATTTAAATATTTCCTTTGCCTCATGAAATAACATTTATGACTCCAATAAAAGTAAGTTAGTTCCACTTTGAAAAGCATGTTTTTTAAAGAGAAATAATTTAAAATAATTAAATTTAAAGTAAATTAATAATTTAAAATAACAAAAAAGAAAGTGGTCAGGATAATTTCCAGTATATAATATCATAAATGTTATAATCTTATTTCTGTTTTACAAAATACCAAAATTGTTGTCTGCAAAATTGTTCTTTTGTACATTTTATTTGATAAAATCAATAAAATAACTTTAAAAGATTCTTAAAATTTTGTTTTAATTTTACTTTGCTTGTGAGTTTACTGTTATGTTTGGATCTGACCACTAAACTAAAAGCTGTGTGATTTTGTTTTGTTTTGTTTTGTTTTGTTTTTGCGGTACGCGGGCCTCTCACTGTTGTGGCCTCTCTTGTTGCGGAGCACAGGCTCTGGACGCGCAGGCTCAGCGGCCATGGCTCACGGGCCTAGCCGCTCCATGGCATGTGGGATCTTCCCGGACCGGGGCACAAACCCGTGTCCCCTGCATCGGCAGGCGGACTCTCAACCACTGTGCCACCTGGGAAGCCCCAAAGCTGTGTGATTTTTATCATAGTGACTATTTTTTCATTCTTGGGTAAAACATGCAAAGTAAATATTTTAATATGTTTCACCTTTATGATTACTGGTTTCAGGTCTTCCGGACATTTGTGATAGCATTTTGGAGAAATGGTTGAAGGAAGGTTTCATTAAACATAAACCTGATCAACTGACTGTTAACCAGTATGAACCTGGGCATGGTGAATATTTCTTCTTCTAAAATTCCAGTCATATATTTCATAACTAAGTGGGTTATATAACTCTAAGATCAAAGATAGTATTTTTTAGCTCGAACTGACTCTTAATACGCTTATGTTTGTTACCTGTGTTGATTTCAATCCATTTGCAAGTCTCTGCTCAGTCTCTTGAGGAATTTGCATCTCTAAGTGTAAACAGACACAGTTGCTATTTGTGATTTTCTTTTGTTCTCCCTCAACATTTTTTTTTTAGAGAGGGAGAAGATTGCTTTAAAAACAAAGGAGGCATGTAAAGTGGAAGAAATCAAATAATTTACAGGTACATAGAAGAAGACTAACTGGTTGGATCATCATGCTCTTCTTTCTCTTCTGTCGAGAATGTGGAAGACAATTCTAGGATGACATTTTAGTAAAAAATCTTTAGGTTATTGATTTTTTGCACTTGTTAGCAGCATCTTCGTCTGATATTTGTACTAATCAAATGATATTGAGGGTTTTATTAATGGCAGGAGTTGTGGCGTTTTTTCCTTCTCTGCATTTATCAGGATGTTTTATGATAGCTTATTTACCTATCAGTCTTTCCATTGGTCTATAAGCTCCTTGAGGACAGAGATTGTGTCTTACTAGGTTTAGGTACCCTCACCATGTAGCAAGGTTCCTTTCAAGTAAGAGATACTCATTTAACATAGATTGAGAGACTGGTGGAAGAAGCCATATCTTAGTTATTGATAAGATTAGTCTTCACACCTGGCTGTTGTTTTTGTTCTACAGGTACTTGGGAATCCAGTATTCAGAGGTCAAAATGACTTTGTTAGTTATATTTCACACTTCCTCTTGGGCTGGGATTGAGTAAATGTTCTAGTTAAGGAGTGACTCTCAAATCTTGATTTTACAGTCAGGTCACAATGGTGCTTTAACATGAAGTTATATTTTTAGTTTAGACTTAGTTTAATTTTATTCACATTGACCTTAAATGTTTCCTTTTAACTAAAATTACAGTACGTTCCAGTTTATCAAATGATGTTTTCACTCTAATACTATGAGGCTATATTTAGAGTTGTCTTAAATCTACTAAAAGGAAAAATGAAGTGACCTGTTATCCTATCTTCCATCTCAGGAATTCCTGCTCATATTGACACACATTCTGCGTTTGAGGATGAGATCGTTTCTCTCAGTTTGGGGTCAGAGGTAAATATTCAAACATTTTTATTAGCTATCAACAAATGCCTTACCTTATACAATGCCCTTTTCATAGGATTTCTCACATTTCTTAATCCAAGTGAATTAAGATTTAAAAATGAAATGTAAAGGCACCATTAACAGTTTCATTTCTTACAGACTGTGAAATTATCACAGTCTCTTCTTTTAGGTGTCCAAAGTTTTATCTATCAGTTCATCAGATGCCAGGAAAAGTCCTGTAAGTTAATTTTTACATTTTACTTTTAGAAGTTAAATAAAATCCAGACTTCCATTTTGCAATAATTTACTGTAGCAGCATTACCATCTAGTGGCTAAAGATAGTAGCTGCAGGCTATAGATGAAAGAAACAAAACTAAAATGTAAGTGTCTGGAATTGTGATAAACTTTTTCACGTATAGTATATGATTCAGTCCCTTCAACAACTTTGAGTAGTAGAGGGTAATGTCCTTATCTTTACAAATGAATAATAAGAGGTTCATGTTTATTCATTGACTTGTTTTTAATAGTTGTACTTTATTTGAACTGCTAAAGAAGCTATCAAAAGTCTGATTTAAAGCAATCCTTGCAAACTGCAGATAGAATTTTAGATAGAAATCAACTTAAAAGCTTTTGTACAGCAAAGGAAACCATAAGCAAAACGAAAAGACAACCTCAGAATGGGAGGAAATATTTGCAAATGAAGCAACGGACAAAGGATTAATCTCCAAAATATACAAACAGTTCATGCAGCTCCATATAAAAAAAAAAAACAACCCAATTAAAAAATGGGCAGAAGACCTAAATAGACATTTCACCAAAGAAGACACACAGATGGCCAAGAGGCACATGAAAAGATGCTCAACATCTCTAATTATTAGAGAAATGCAAATCAAGACTACAATGAGGTATCACCTCACACTGGTTAGAATGGCCATCATCAAAAAATCTACAAGCAATAAATGCTGGAGAGGGTGTGGAGAAAAGGGAATCCTTTTGCACTGTTGGTGGGAATGTAAACCATACAGCCACTGTGGAGAACAGTATGGAGATTCCTTAAAAAACTAAAAACAGAACTACCATATGATCCAGCAATCCCACTACTGGGCATATACCCTGAGAAAACCATAATTGAAATGGACACATGTACCCCATTGTTCATTGCAGCACTGTTTATAGTAGCTAGGACATGGAAACAACCAAAATGTCCAATGACATTTCGAGATGTGATACGTATGTACAATGGAATATTATTCAGCCATAAAAAGGAATGAAATTGGGTAATTTGCAGAGATGTGGATGGACCTAGAGTCTGTCATACAGAGTGAAGTAAGCCAGAAAGGGAAAAACAAATATTGTATATTAACACATATATGTAGAATCTAGAAAAACGGTACAGATGAACCTATTTGCAGGGCAGGAATAGAGATGTAGACATAGAGAACGGACATGTGTTCATGGGGGGGAGGGGAACGTGGGAAGAATTGGGAGATAAGGTTTGACATAAATACACTACCATGTGTAAAATAGATAGCTAGTGGGAACCTGCTGTATAGCTCAAGGAGCTCAGCTCAGTGTTCTGTGATGACCTAGATGGGTGGGATGGGGGTGGTGGGAGGGAGGTCCAAGAGGGAGGAGAGGACTCAGTGGTTAACAGTCTGCCTGCCAATGCAGGGGACATGGGTTCGAGCCCTGGTCTGGGAAGATCCCACATGCTGCGGAGCAGCTGGGCCCGTGTGCCACAACTATTGAGGCTGTGTGCTGCAACTACTGAAGCCTGTGCGCCTAGAGCCCATGCTCCACAACAAGAGAAGCCACTGCAATGAGAAGCCCGTGTACTGCAACAAATAATAGCCCCCGTTTGCTGCAACTAGAGAAAGCCCACGCACAGCAACGAAGACCCAATGCAGCCAAAAATAAATAAATTTATTTTAAAAAAAGAGAGAGGAGATATAGATATACGTATAGCTGATTCACTTCATTGTACAGCAGAAACTAACACAACACTGTAAAGCAATTATACTCCAATTAAAAAAAAAGAAACCAGAATTTCAGATCTGTAAGAATCTTTAAAATATGAGGTTGTTTCAAAATCTGATCTTGTTGCTGGATGCAAATACTGTTTACTAGTATTTGTTTGCATTTGCTTAGTTCTTATCACTAACTATAGTGCTTTGGCTTTTTAACTTTTGCTGAGCTTGTGTGATTATGTTGATAATGTGACTACAGAGCTAGTGTATTTGATAAGACAACCATCTTATCAACTACATGTGTGGATTCTTATTAAGTGCTTTCAAAAATAATGAGGACAGGAAGGGAAAAGAGCTCTTCTCTGACTGGTTTATTTTAATTTTACCTCTTATCCTGGCTTGTAGCTTTAGGGGACCAGTAAAGAACATCTTTGTTTTTTCCTTCTGTGTAACCAATTGAGAAATGAAATGAAAGATAAATGAATATCAGACTGTCAACTTAACTACTGAGAAAACATGGAAGATCATGGCTTTGGATCTGTAGCCAAGTGGACTTATTAATAATTCACCTATGAATTAGACATACTGTCCTTTACACTGGTACAACTGGAGACTTTTCCTATAGAGGCAGAGGCTGCCCCTATAACAGGACATGAGGAAGCATAAATTAGATTCTGCAAACCAGCGGGATTTGAGAAGGAGAGAGGAAAGGGCTCATCCAAGCAGGTTTGGCTCCAGGCTAACCAATCAGCTGAGGTGCCTTCTCTCCTGGGGAGCTGGAAGTTAAGGAATGGAGAAGAGCGAGGTTTGTTCTTATTACTTTCACTCCTATAGAGATTCTCTCCATTCCTAGGGAAATATAAAAAATGGGGCCTAAGTGTTCCTCCAACACCCTAAAAGTTCATTATATAGTTGTTTTTTTCTGATGTGGACCAGTTTTAAAGTCTTTATTGAATTTGTGACAATATTGCTTCTGTTTTATATTTTCGTTTTTTGGCCACGAGGCATGTGGGATCTTAGCTCCCCCTGACCAGGGATCGAACCCGCACCCCCTGCACTGGAAGGTGAAGTCTTAACCACTGGACCACCAGGGAAGTCCCATTATATAGTTTTTATTTTTTTAACAGACCTTTATCGGGGTATAATTGCTTCACAGTACTGTGTTAGTTTCTGTTGTACAACAAAGTGAGTCAACCATATGCATACATATATCCCCATATCCCTTCCCTCTTGAGCCTCCCTTCCACCCACCCTATCTCATGTCTCTGGGTCATTGCGAAGCACCTACCTGATGTCCCTGTGCTATGCTGCTGCTTCCCAGTAGCTATTTACATTTGGTAGTGTATACATGTCGACGCTACTCTCACTTCGCCCCAGCTTTCCCCTCCCCTCCCCCATGTCCTCAAGTCCATTCTCTATGTCTACGTATTTATTCCTGCCTTGCCACTAGGTTCATTAGTACCATTTTTTTTTCCTTTAGATTCCACATATATGTGTTATCATACGGTATTTGTTTTTCTCTTTCTGACTTGCTTCACTCTGTATGACAGACTCTAGGTCCATCCACCTCACTACAAATAACTCAATTTTGTTTCTTTTTATGGCTGAGTAATATTCCATTGTATATATGTGCCACATGTTCTTTATCCATTCATCTGTCAATGGACAGTTAGGTTGGTTACATGTCCTGGCTATTGTAAATAGTGCCACAATGAACATTGTGGTGCATGTCTCTTTTTGCATTATGGTTTTCTCAGGGTATATGCTCAGTAGTGGGATTGCTGGGTCATATGGTAGTTCTATATTTAGTTTTTTAAGAAACTTCCATACTGTTCTCCATAGTGGCTGTATCAGTTTACATTCCCACCAACAGTGGAGGAGGCTTCACTTTTCACCACACCCTTTCCACCATTTATTGTTTCTAGAGTTTTTGATAATGGCCATTGTGACTGGTGTGAGGTGATACCTCATTGTAGTCTTGATTTGCATTTCTCTAATAATTAGTGATGTTGAGCATCTTTTCATGTGCCTCTTGGCCATCTGTATGTCTTCTTTGGTGAGATGTCTATTTAGGTCTTTCACCCATTTTTTAATTGAATTGTTTGTTTTTTTGATATTGAGCTCCATGAACTGTTTATATATTTTGGAGATTAATCCTTTGTCCATTGGTTCATTTGCAAATATTTCCTCCCATTCTGAGGGTTGTCTTTTCGTCTTGTTTATGGTTACCTTTCCTGTGCAAAAGCTTTTAAGTTTCATTAGGTCCCATTTGTTTATTCTTGTTTTTATTTACATTTCTCTAGGAGGTGGGTCAAAAAAGATCTTGCTGTGATTTATGTCATAGAGTGTTCTACCTATATTTTCCTCTAAGAGTTTTATAGTGTCTGGTCTTACATTTAGGTCTTTAATCCATTTTGAGTTTATTTTTGTGTATGGTGTTGGGGAGTGTTCTAATTTCATTCTTTTACATGTAGCTGTCCAGTTTTCCTGGCACTTATTGAAGAGGCTATCTTTTCTGCACTGTTTGTTCTTGCCTCCTTTATTCATGAATTAGGTGACCATATGTGCGTGGGTTTATCTCTGGGCTGTCTATCCTTTACCATTGATCTATGTTTCTGTTTTTGTGCCAGTACCATACTGTCTTGATTACTGTGGCTTTGTAGTATAGTTTGAAATCAGGAGCTTGATTCCTCCAACTCCATTTTTCTTTGTCGGGGTCTTTTGTGTCCATATGAATTGTAAAATTTTTTGTTCTAATTCTGTGAAGAATGCCCTTGGTAGTTTGGTAGGGATTGCATTGAATCTGTAGATTGCTTTGGGTAGTATTGTCATTTTCACAATATTGATTCTTCCATTCCAAGAACATGGTGTATTTCTCCATCTGTTTATGTCATCTTTGATTTCTTTCATCATGTGTTATAGTTTTCTCAGTAAAAGTCTTTTGCCTCCTTAGGTAGGTTTATTCCTAGGTATTTTATTCTTTTTGTTGTGATGGTAAATGGGAGTGTTTCCTTAATTTATATTTTTGATTTTTTTGTTGTT